TCGGCTGCCTGGCGCACCGCTCCCTCGGCCGACATCGCCCAGGCGTGATCCTGGACTGCGGTCGCCACGAGGTCGGGAACGGCAAGAAGGAGGACGACGACTGGTGGCTGGAGCTCTACGTGCTGCTCTCGCGCGCCACGCGCCACGAGGACCTCCTGCTCATGCGGGCGCCGCGCATCGAGTTCTTCCTGGCCGGGCCGCCGGAGGGCTTGCGTAAGCAGCTGGAGCAGTTTGCCGCGCGCACGAAGCGGTGCAGGAGGGAAGCCACGGCCCTCGCCAGGGAGCTTGGCTTCACCGAGTTTATCCGCGACGCCTGATCTGAGGAGCGGCCCGCCACAGCCGCGCCTTCTCTCGGCTGTCCAACTGTTTGGCCTCGCGCCGCGGACGCCCCGCGCACGTCGCTGGGACCCTCTCGGGGCGATCAGCGCACGTCGCCCGAACTCCGCGCTGCGCTCTGCCCAGCGCCTCGCTCGCCCCTCGTCGCTCCGCCCAGCGGCCAGAGCCATGCGCGCTATGAGTTAGCCAGCAAGCGCTATCTGATCCGCTCAGCGGACGAAGCGCGCGCGTCACTGCGACCACTTCGGGGCGCCCTGCGCGCGTCGCGGGGGTTGACTGACGCCCGCCGCTGGCGCGTCGGGCGAGAAAGAAAGGTCGTCGTCGTCGTCGTCGTCGTCCTCCTCCTCCTCCTCCTCCGTCGTCGTCGTCGTCGCCGCCGCCGTCGCCGCAGCCGCAGCCGCCGCTGCCGTCGCCGCCGCCGCCGTCGCCCGTCGCCGTCGCCGTCGTCGCCGTCGCCGCCGCCGCCGCCGCCGTCGTCCTCCTCCTCCCTCCTCCTTCCTTCCTTTCTCCACGCGCTCCCTCCAGACCTCCTCCGGACCTTTTCTGGACCTCGCACGCTCCGTGGCCCCATGGGAGGGGGGGGAGGGGGGGTCGCCCCACGCACGTTCCTTGGCCCCATAGGGGGCTTCACCGCATACCCCAGTGACAGCGCACGCACTGCGTCACTTCCTTATTTCGGCACGCCCTCCACACGCTTCGTGACCCCATAGAGAGATCCACCGAAGGCGATATTAACAACGACGGCATTAACAACTGCATATGGTTGGGTCCTTCGTCGGCTAATTTTTGTTGTGCCCCCAATTCCCCAGGTTTGCTCAGGTTCCTCAGGTTTGCTCAAATGCCGGCGTGCCGAATGCATGCTGCCAGTTCCTCAGGTTTGCTCAAATGCGTACCGAATACATGCTGTCGTGTCCAAGCCTGCCGTCGTAACCAAGAATATCCGCACTGCATGACAATGATGGCCGGTGGTTCCTGTACTCTATGTAATTCCGTTTGGCTTTCAACCAATCCGAAGTATCATTGCGTGTCCCAGTATCTCACATAAGCCAATTTTCCGTGAACGCGCCGATCGGCAAAACAAGGAATAAAAACACGACCACATGAGTGTTCGCTATTCTCCGAGGCCTGCCGGGACCAGACACGGCTCGCCATCGCTCGAGCGTCCCTCCCGCGCTCACATTCCGGCTCTGCACGTGCTCCGGCGCTGCCCTCGTCGAGAAACGCGGACACGCGTCCGAGCGATGCCACGAATCTGGCCATCGCTCGGACGTCCATTCCCTGTGCTTTTTTCGGTTTCGTGCGTGGTTTTTTCGCCAAATGATGAAGGATGCTCCTCGACGGTCCTCGCCGAGAAAAAAGTGCACACGTCCGAACGATGCCAGGGAATAGGGGTAGCGGCATTGCTGGGAGGGCCGCGGGGGCTGCTGAGGGGATAGGCGGTTACAAGCGGATGCGGAGGTCGCTTCTCTCTGGGGGCAAAGCAAACTTGCAAGTGGGTCTCGAGTGCCCTGGAAGGCTTGGGTGGGTTCGATGAGCTCCACGGCGTGAGCGCAGCCAATCCGATCAAGATCTCACACGACTTGGGGCACCTCCAACCCACTTATAGACAATGTTACGCCAGATGTATGCCATCCGAGCACCGCCCTCCTTATCCCCGCCCCCCCCCCCCCCCCGCGTATCCACGGCCTCGCAACGGATACAGAGCGTTTCTTCGCGGATGCCCCGCGCGGAGAGTATCCGTGTGACTGCGTAGCCGCGCCCCAGAATCCAGACCACGAGGGCGTGGATATGCATACGTTCGCTCGTGATGACCACCGTCGGTCTAGAGATAGGGACATATTCCAGGCCGGAACACAGGGGCCACACTAACACCCCCGTATATCATCCTTATCCCCTTCGCACATCCCGCGGTCATCCCGATACAGATAGTTAGCAAGAGGGAAACTTCTCCTGAGGGAAGCGGGTCCTAGACCGCCAAAGCCTCCCCTGAAGACCGAATCTTCGTCCTGAGTCGTTTTCGACCAGTTCCCGGGGCCCGTGGAATGCCCCTGAAGTTCCCGCAAGACACGTGTCCTTCAAGAACCTGTTTCCGGGAAAACCAACGGGTACCAATACCGGACCTCTCCAGGTGTGCGATCCGACCCGACTTTCGATGCGCGAATCCAGCCGTGACGGCGAGGGCCTCCCAGGAAGCCCAAAGGCGAGGAGCAAGGCCGCTGAGCATGTGCACATGGCTCTCGCCCAGGCCAGCCGCGCCATGTGCATCCGACGTCCTGCACCACCCTGGGAGAGAACTGCAACTCTTCCAGGTCGTGCCTAACAATCGTCTGGGGGACTTCCCTGGCGGCAACTCTGCATCCTCGGGACCCGTGCCCCTCAGAACCCGTTCCCTTCACGGCGGGGACGGGGTCGATGATCATCAGAACAGGTGCTTAGCGCCAACGAATGTTTGCCCACCGAGGCCCTTCAAAACGACGTAGGCGGCGCAACGGGTGCCGACCCAGGCTGCGCGCTGTCGGCTGATTCGAACATGGTACACACACACACACACACACACACACACACACACACACACACGCTGAGGATCATCTTGGGCGGGTGGTACAGTGGAGGCTCGACCACAAGAAACCTTAAGAACCCCAACCCTGGAACCCCAGGACGCCCATGGATCTCTGGCGTGGGAACGTCGTGCGCTCCATAGCGAAACCATGGAAACCCAAGAAGCCCAAGGCACCCTGGAGGCAAGCAGGGTGTTTCTTGGCATGGGCCTCCACTGTAATGTGGGAGCCTCCATGGGGGGTGGAGACAGAAGGGCCGTCAAGGGGGCCCTTTGGGGCCCCTGCCAGCTCCAAAAAGGGGCCCTCAAGGGCCCCCTTCGGGCCCTGTGCTTCACCCCCCAGTTAGGTCTGGCGGCGCGCACCAAGGGGACAAAGGGACGGGGAGGGCTTCTAAACCCGGGGCAGTGCACCTCTGGCCCTGCAAGATCCTGTAACATCCAACGCTCTGGCTGACCCACGATTGCTTGACCCCCGTCTCTTGAGCCCCGAATCGGCAGGGACACGCTCCAGGCTGGTGCGCACAAGGGGTTAGGGGGAGGGGGGAATGCTTCTTAGAGGGAGGCTGCTTATTGGCAAGCGCCGGCCCTACATCTACAGACGTGGCCCGCGCCTTCTAAGAAGCAGTGTTGCTTCTGAGAAATCATCCCCCCTGCCTTTGGCTCCCCTCTGCGCGTGGCCGATAGGTCACCCCACATTACCACCCGTTGGACAGCAGGAACTCTAAAGGGGCTCCTTGGGGACCCTGCCGGCTCAAAAATGAACCCTCAAGAGCCCCTGTGGAGCCCTTCTCTTCACCCCCCATTCTGGTCACTGCCATAACTACGATAGGTCTTTAGGACCCCCTCCATCAATAGGAGGAGGAGGAGGAGGAGGAGGAGGAGGAGGAGGAGGAGGAGGAGGAGAACAAGGAGGAGGAGCAGGAGGGGCGAGTTTATTCCCAGCCGACAGGAGGGGCAGGAGGAGGAGCAGCAGCAGGAGCAACAGGAGGAGGGGGAGGAGGAGGAGGAGGAGGAAGACGCGGAGCAGGCGGAGGAGGAGCGGCAGAAGGGGAGGGGACAATAACTAAATACCTCCCGAGGTTGACCACCCGCCCGAGAATCATAGGTCGGGGAGACGTAAGACTCGGGTACGGGGGACTCTCGGATTGGCCCGACAGGGCCATCATGATAATGACGAGACCCAATCTGAGATATGACGCGAACTCCCAGCGCAAACATCCCATGAACACAGGACCGTCAAAACCTAGGACGCGCTCGTCAAACAACGTCGGCAAACCCGAGCTCCAGCTTAACTACTCGAGTCTTACGTTTGCACGGTTTCCCCGGGGCCGTAGGCGACCCGAGGAGGAGAAGGAGGAGGAGGAGGAGGAGAAGGAGGAGGAGGAGGAGAAGGAGGAGGAGGAGGCTAAGGGCAGGAGAAGATGGGGAAGGGGGGAGGAGGAGGAGGAGGAGGAGGCGGAGGAGGAGGAGGAATAAGATGATGATGATGATGATGCTGATGATGATGATGCTGATGATGCTGCTGATGATGATGCTGATGCTGCTGATGATGATGATGGTGGTGATGGTGGTGATGATGATGATGATGATGATGATGATGATGATGATGCTGCTGATGCTGATGCCGATGATGATTATGATGCACAGGAGGCGGAGGAGGAGGAGGAGGAGGAGGACGAGGAGGAGGAGGAGGTGGGGATGGAGAAGGCGGAGGAGGTGGAGGCGGAGGAGGAAGAGAAGAGGAGGAGGAGGCGGAGGAGGAGAGGCGGAAGGAAGGAAGAAGGAGGAGAGGAGGAGGAGGGAGGAGGAGGAGGAGAGGAGGAGGAGGAGGAGGAGGAGGAGAGGAGGGGAGGAGGAGGAGGAGGAGGAGGAGGAGGAGGAGGAGGAGGAGGAGGAGGAGGAGGAGGAGGAGGAGGGGAGGAGGAGAGGAGGAGAGGAGGAGGAGGAGGAGGAGAAGAGGAGGAGGAGGAGGAGGAGGAGGAGGAGGAGGAGGAGGGAGGAGGAGGATGAGGAACCTGAGGAAGAGGAGGAGGAGGGTTCGCCTAAGCCCATCGGAGAAACCCTCCCCGAATCGGTGGGGACACGCTCCAGGCCGGCGCGCAGAGGCCTCGGGGCGCAGCTTCTCGGGCTGCTGCCGCAGCAGCGCCGGGCTCGAGGCCGAGGCCTGCAGGCCGCTGGGCGCGCTGGTGGCCCGCGGGAGCTCCGGCAGCCGCGGGTCGGAAGAGGCAGCAAAACGGCACGGGGACGAGGAGGAGGAGGAGGAGGAGGAGGAGGAGGAAGAGGAGGACCCCTCCAGGAGGAGGAGGAGGAAGAGGAGGAGGAGGAGGAGGAGGAGGAGGACGAGGGTAGGAGGAGGTGGAGGAGGATGATGAGGAGGAGCAGGAGGAGTAGCAGGAGGAGGAGTAGGAGTAGGAGTGGGAGTCAAGCTAGCCAGCTCGAGCGAGTCAAGCATGGCATGCCCACTGGCGAGCGCGTGTTGAATGCCGCGCACGCATTGCCAGACGAGTCGAGAATGGCCCGGTGCACCGCAGGAAGCCAGAGGTGGCCGGAGAAGCCCGACGGTCTGACAGGACACCCCAAAGCATTTTTGTGAAAAAGCATATGGTTTTTGATGTTTTTATGTTGAAATGCTTGCAAACACACGGTGTTCGGTAGGATTCTGACATGAACGCGCGAGTGTGCTCTTTGTGGTATTTTTTGCACAGGATTCGCGGCCTGGGTGCATGACAGAGCATCGCGAGTGCACCGCGCGATGACGTGAAATCGCTGGATTTGACAGAATTCTTAAGATTCCTATGGTTTTCCTATGATTTCAGCAAGAGAGCCCGGGCGGGAAATTTGTACAATTTTTGTGAAAAAAAAGCATTGGGTTTTTGATGTTTTTATGTTGAAATGCTTGCAAACACACGGTGTTCGGTAGGATTCTGACATGAACGCGCGCGTGTGCTCTTTGTGGTATTTTTTGCCATGGATTATCGCCGTGGACGACAAGACGTCCATGTCGAGAGGAAAAAAAAAAGAAAAATGTTGATTTTGTATTGTTTTTTACATGTTAGGATGGGACCACCCGGATGCGGCCCCTAATGGCCGGCCTGAGGGGGGAGTAGGAGTATATTCTAATAAGGAATAAGGATAGGAGTAGGAGTCAAGCTAGCCAGCTCGAGCGAGTCAAGCATGGCATGCCCAGTCCCACCCGCCCTCCCACAACATAAGAAGCAAAGCTGGCACAACTGGGGGCCGAAGTCACACCGGCCAGCCGGTTTGGTACAGCTGATGCGGCCGCGATGGCGGTTGCCGACGGGAACTGGCGAGCGCGTGTTGAATGCCGCGCACGCATTGCCAGACGAGTCGAGAATGGCCCGGTACACCGCAGGAAGCCAGAGGTGGCCGGAGGAAGCCCGACGGTCTGACAGGACACCCCAAAGCATTTTTGTGAAAAAGCATTGGTTTTTGATGTTTTTATGTTGAAATGCTTGCAAACACACGGTGTTCGGTAGGATTCTGACATGAACGCGCGAGTGTGCTCTTTGTGGTATTTTTTGCACAGGATTCGCGGCCTGGGTGCATGACAGAGCATCGCGAGTGCACCGCGCGATGACGTGAAATCGCTGGATTTGACAGAATTCTTAAGATTCCTATGGTTTTCCTATGATTTCAGCAAGAGAGCCCGGGCGGGAAATTTGTACAATTTTTGTGAAAAAACATTGGGTTTTTGATGTTTTTATGTTGAAATGCTTGCAAACACACGGTGTTCGGTAGGATTCTGACATGAACGCGCGCGTGTGCTCTTTGTGGTATTTTTTGCAATGGATTATCGCCGTGGACGACAGGACGTCCATGTCGAGAGGAAAAAATAAGAAAAATGTTGATTTTGTATTGTTTTTTACAGGTTAGGATGGGACCACCCGGATGCGGCCCGCTATCTGCCGGCCTGAGGGGGGAGTAGGAGTATATTCTAATAAGGAATAAGGATAGGAGTAGGGTAGGAGTAGGAGTAGGAGCAGGAGTAGGAGGAGGAGGAGGAGGAGGAGGAGGAGGAGGAGAAGGAGGACGAGGTGGAAGAGGAGGAGGAGGAGGCGGGTGGGCGATAAAGGGGGGGGGGGGAGGCAGCGAGGGCTGCCGCAAAGGGGCCCTTGCGGGCTCCCTAAACTCGGCGGCGAGCGAGGGTGGGAAGCGAGAAGGAGAAGGCCTTCTCAGTGCTTGCACTGAAAGGGTCCTGGCGGATCTTGAATGATTTGGCGACAATGGGCGGCCGATTTCGGTAGTGTCCGCTGGGTTCCCGGGCTCTCGGGTTCTTGGTTCTGGGCTCCCGGGTTCGCGGTTCCGGGGGGTTCTTGGTTTCCGGGTTCCAGGTTCCGCATTCCAGATCGCGGGGTTCCTAGATTCCCGGTTCCAGAGACCCGAGGACTTCTGAGAAGCCCCGCCGCAGAATCGGGGAGACATGAGACTCGGGCTCGGGGGACCCGGGTTGGCCCGACGGGGACATCATGAAAATGGCGCGACCCACTCTGAACTTTGACGCGAACTCCCGCCGCAGACATCCCACGAAAATTAAACCGTCAAAATCCAAGACGCGCTCGTCAAAAGGCGTCGGCAGACCCGAGTTCCGGCGTAATTACTCGAGTCTTACGCTTCCCCGAAAGAGGCAGTAGAACGGCACGGGGACGAGCAGGGTGTCATGCCCAGAGAAACTGGACCGTCAAAATCCAGGACGCGCTCGTCAGCAGGCGTCGGCAGACCCGAGCTTTGGCATACGCGAGTCTCACGTTTCCCCGTACAAAGAAGCAGCAGAACGGCACGGGGACGAGCAGGGTGTTCTGCCCAGTCGGCGGCGAGCGAGGGGGGGAGGGGGGGGAGGCGATCAGGGGCGGGCCTTCTCGGAAGGCTCGGAAGTCCCCCGGCCTTCCGGGGCGCTCTCTAAGCCTTCCCCGAGGGCACAGCCCGAGGCCCTCTGAGGAGCCCCGCCGCCTTCTGAGAAAGCCAATCTCCTTCTCGTCTCCCCCCTCGTTCGCCGGCGACAGAGCTTGGGCGATATGATTGCTCCCTTGGATCCGCGCGGATGTCTCGGACCCGCGCAACGCTCGGGAGTTCATGCTCATGCGTTTGTTCGTTCTTCGAGGCAGCAGTTGCGGATAAAAAGAGGCAGCAGAACGGCACTGCGATGACTACCTACCAAACCACCCCAGCCCAACCCGAAGACCCAACCTTCGGGTGGGGGGGAGGGGGCACGGGTTCCACATCTGTGTTCTCACTATTCCCCTTCGCCCCCCCCACTGGGAATGGAGGGCGAATTGAGGCCGTCGGGTTGGGTTGGGATGGACTGGTGGGAGGTGGTGGGACGAGCAGGATCTGGGCGCCCGCACTCTCCGGGGCAGCTCGGGCCCGGGGCAGAACTCGGGCCTGGAGGCCCGCACAGGACACGCGCCCGAGCTGGCCCTGGCCCGAACAGCCCCGGACGATTCGGGGCTCTGACGAGCAGGACGCCATGAGGGAGGAGGAGGGAGGAGGAGGGAGGAGGGAGGAGGAGGGAGGAGGAGGAGGAGGAGGAGGAGGAGGAGGAGGAGGAGGAGGAGGAGGAGGAGGAGGGGGGAGGAGGAGGAGGAGGAGGAGGAGGAGGAGGTGGAGGAGGGAGGAGGAGGAGGAGGAGGAGGAGGAGGAGGCCAGAGCTCTGGCGAGATGTGCTTCTTGCCGGCGGGCGGCTGGCCTTCCTTTACGGCTCCAGGCCTCGGAGGCCCGGCCTCGGCCCCCCCCCCGCGAAAGAGCCACTGCAGACGGGCACCCGGGACAGCACAAAAGCACGGCCCTCGGCGAGAAGCTGCTCCCGCAGAGGCGGCACGCGGCACCGGGGCGAGGCTCGGGGGACCAAGCAATGACGTACGTCGGGAGCGGCCAAGAGGGGGGCGTCCAAGAGGGGGGGGTGCAAATCATGACCGGCGGTATGTGCGCGGCCCAGCGGGGGTCCAGGGACGTAATGAAACAAGAAGAGGCGCCATGAAATCTGGGGAACCATCATGGCCCTCGGGGAGGCTGCCCCGGAAGAGGCAGCACGCGGCACCGGGGCGAGACTCGGGGGACCAAGCAATGAAGTACAGGGCAGTTTTTAATACAGGGGATGTTTAAGAACCTTGGACTTTAATCCATGACTGATGTATGAATGAAATGGTGCATGAACTCATGGTTGTTTTTAGTACTACATCCCTGCATGTTTAATACATGATCCGCACGCGGAGCCTGTATAAAAAACGGCACTGTACAGCCAACCCGTATTACACCGAAGAAAAAAAAACATCAACAGATGGCTTGAAATGGGATCGAGAAAGAGATCGATAAAAAGATCGACCAAGAACCCGGGAACCCGGAACCCACCGAAATCGGCCCGGAACCAAATCCTGGGAACCTGGAACCGGGAACCCGGGAACCCAGCCGGCTACCAAAATCGGCGGGAAACTTTCGCCAAATCTTTCAATTTCCGCTAGGACCCCTTCAGAGCAAGCACTGATTGGGGAAAAATAAGGATGCTCGATAAGGATGCAAGGGCCTTGGAAGCCTATTTCGAAGCTTTTCGAGCGGGGCGCGGCCAACGAAGGTGGCCAAGGATGGACCGATGAGGCATGAGGCAAGGATGCAAGGGTACCCTTGGGAAGGTTGCCCATCCTTACCATGCGGTTTGACTGTAAACATGAAAACTCAAGGGTCCGCGGGGATTCCGCACCAGGGCCCCCTGGCGGCGCCTCTGACGCCGATCCGAGAAGTCCGCGCGGACCTCCGAGATGCCATGTTTATGCCACTGTTTCTTCCGCGCAGAGTGCTACGGCGGGCTCGTGTCGTGCCGGCTTCGGCGCTGGTCTCTGACACCGTGGGGATCGCTCGATCTTGAATGATCGGACGTTTCCGAAACGTCAGAAACGTCAGGTCGTTCAACATCAAAAGATTCTGGCTGGCTTCCGGCATTCGACGTTAAACGTCGGCAGCGGGGTGGCCGCCTGTGGACACGATGCGCACCTGCCGTATCCGTATGAGGCGAATCCTGGAGGCCTTGCGCGGCAACCTGAGACCCAATGCAATTCGGCTCCATGTCAGATTCGAGCCGCGCTCACGTGGGATAGCGTCGGATTTGCGTCGGATGTACGTCGATCTGCGGCACTGGGGCGAGGACGATGAGAGGAAGAAGAAGACTGCACGCACACATACTTTCGGAGCACCGCGCGAAGTTCTTGGAATCGCGCGGAGCTCAAAAAGTGTATGTGTATATTCGCCGGCCCAACGGGCCAGAGGCGTGCTAAGGTCTCCAGGAACAGGTTAACAATATTTCTACTTCGCGCGCGCGTGGCGGCCCCTGGGGACCCCTGGACGAAAAGCACCCAGGGCGGTCCGATCCAGAGATGTTTGTTCCTTCTGGGCACGGCTTTCAGGCGCCCCAGAGCGCTCCTAGAGGGCCCCAAGAGTTCCCAAGACGGTCCAAAAGGGCTCCGAGTCGCCAACCGATCGGTCCAAGACGCCCAAGATAGACTCCAGACGGCCGCAGACGCCCCCAAGCCGCCCAAAGAAGCCTCGAAGAAGCGTCTCAAGAGGACCCCAGGAGGCAAACACCATTGCTTTCCCATCGTTTTTTCAAGGATTTTGGCATTCTCATCTGTTCTGCTCCCCGACGCCAGACGGCCCAAAAGAGGCCTCCAAAACCGCCCCAAGACGACCCAAGAAGCCTACAAGAGGGCCCCAAGACGGCCCAAGATGGCCCCAAGACAACCCAATATGCGCCCAAGATTGCCCCAAATCGGCACCACGAGAGGCCCAAGACGGGGACCAGGAGGCCCCCAAGAGGCCCCAAGGGGGCCCCAAGAGGCACCCCAAGAAGCCCCAAGAGGCCCCCAAGAGGCCCCAGGAGGCCCCAACACGGCCCGAAGAGGCCTCAAAACTGCCTCCCAGAGGCCCCCAAGAGGACCCAACACGGCCCCCAAGCGGCGAGGCAAAATGGGCCGGCGGAACGAGCGAAGCGATGAAACATTCAATGATAGCGCCCCCCGCCTCGAGGTGCGAAGGCTGGCCCGGACACTGCTCGGGGGGCTGCCGAGACACAGCCGGCGGCACTGGGGCGAGAACGATGCCCTGATGCGACTGTCGGCCTCCTCCCCCTCCTCCTCCTCCTCCTCCTCCTCCTCCTCCTCCTCCTCCTCCTCCTCCTTGTCCTCCTTGTCCTCCTTGTCCTCCTCCTCCTCCTCCTCTCCTCCTCTTGTCCTTGTCCTCCTCCTCCTCCTCCTCCTCCTCCTCCCTTTCCTCCTCCTCCTCCTCCCTTTCCTCCTCCTCCTCCTCCTCCTCCTCCTCCTCCTCTTGTCCTCCTTGTCCTCCTTGTCCTCCTCCTCCTCCTCCTCCTCCTCCTCCTCCTCCTCCTCCTTGTCCTCCTCCTCCTCCTCCTCCTTGTCCTTGTCCTCCTCCTCCTCCTCCTCCTCCTCCTCCTTCCTCCTCCTTGTCCTCCTTGTCCTCTCCCTCCTCCTTGTCCTTGTCCTCCTCTCCCTCCTCCTCCTCTCCCTCTCCTCCTCCTCCTCCTCCTCCTCTCCTTGTCCTTGTCCTCTCCTCCTCCTCCTCCTCCTCCTCCTCGTCCTCCTTGTCCTCCTCCTCCTCCTCGTCCTCCTCCTCCTCCTCCTCCTCCTCCTCCTCCTCCTCCTCCTCCCTGTCCAGCACTCTCACGGACTACGCATCCGTGGATCTGGCGCGCGGGCGACGGGCCCACGGATTGGGGAAGGCACGGTCCGAAGCCCGAGGCCAATACCACCTGACGTGGCGACGGAGCGCGCCGAGCTTGCACGGCAACGTGATGGGACCCGTCGCTAATCCACACGTCGTAATCCACATGCCTTACAGTCGGGGCGTTGACCTAAGGAACCCCAAATAAGGAACGAGGCCCCTTTTTTCCATAAGTTGAACTTCGATTTCCTATCGAAAACATCAGGAAAACCTGAGGCAAGCTGTGAGACACTTAAGGAACGCGGAGCCCCTCCCCAACCAAAAGGGTTCCTTCTTCAGATCCCCGACAATATGACGTTTCCACCGGCGTTTTTTTCTCCAGTTTCGGCTGGGGCCCCTGGGGTCACGGATTGGCAAACCAAACAGGTCGGCACGAGGACGACGGCACGTGGACGAAAACGATGCCATGATGCCAGTCCCCGCAGTGGCGGATCAGAGTGAAGGAGCGGGGGGTGGTCGTCTGCAGCCCGCCGCAGGCGCAAGTCTGGTACACATTGCACGACGAGCGAGTTTTCGCCACAGCTGCGTGGGTGCGCTGCGGGTGGGTGGGTCGCCGGTGGTTCGCGCGTGGATCGTGGGCGGGTCTGCGGCCGCATGCGAGATCTCCAGCAGCTGCTCCAGCAGAAGCATCAAGCGTCACTAAGACGACATCAGAGCAAACAGACAGCACTGGAACGAGAAAGGTGTCATGCCCAAATCTCCGACTATCCGAGGTTGGGGGGGGTGAGACCGCGGTGAAACGGAGAGCCCCCCACCGGGAAATCGGTTTCGGTATCGTGCTGTGCGTGCGGGGGAGGTGAAGCTGCGTGGGCGGGCGAGAGGCTTCAACGACATCGGCATTGGCTCGGTACTGGTGTTGGAAATCTCGGAACGTATAATCATCATGATTCTAGGGGGAAAACAAACCTACCTCGCTTTTGACCACCCTCGCTTCCAAGACATACCAAGCGATGCCAAACTACGGCCTGCGCTGGTCAGGCCCCTTGACGAGGAGGCGCGTGGTATCACTTGGTTTTGCCTGGAAGCGAAAGCGGGGTAGGTAATTCACGCTCTGATCTGAGGCACACCCCTGAACGTTCGGACGTCAGCGCGGATGTCTTGGGGTCGGCGTCGGACCTCCTCCCCATCCCTTACCGCGCGGGGGCGCGCCAGGGCGGGGCCCGGCGGCGTCTCCAGAAATCTGCGCGGACCTCCGAACACGTACGCACACAGTCTGCAGTCGAGCTGCAGCGGAGAGGGCACGCGGGAGGATACAGCACCCTGCCTTCCGAGGGCCCTACGCTGCCCCGGGGACTGCAGGAACAGGGGAACAAAAAAGTGACATAAACATAAAGCCTCGGAGGTCCGCGCGGATTTTCCGGATCGGCGCTGGACCCCCCTCCCTGGCGCGCGGAGCGCGCCAGGGGCGGCGCAGGCGCCGCCGGGGGGCTCGAGCGCCGATCCGAGAAATCCGCGCGGACCTCCGAGTTTTATGTTTATGTCACTTTTTGTTCCCCTAAGGAAGGGCCCGTGACGCGAAACGCAAGACGCGAGGGCAGCCTTCGCTTGCCAAAGGTCCACAGACGAATCCACCACCGCCAACCTCTGGCCATCGCTCGGACGTCGAATCCCTGTGCTTTTTTCGGTTGCGTGCGTGGTTTTTCGCCAAATGATCAAGGATGCTCCTCGATGGTCCTCGCCGAAGGGAAAGTGCACACGTCCGAGCGATGCCAAGCGCTTGGAGAGGTCCACAGACGAATCCACCACCGCCAGCCTTCGCGCACGGCGCCTCGCGGTGCGCGGCGCTCGGTTGTCGCCGCGCCCCCTCGCGAGGCTACGCTGGAGAGGAGGGCAGCCCTGTGGCCGAGGACGCGGCGCGCGAAGCGCCAGCGCCTTCGCACCCCCGGGGAAAGCGTGCGAGACCTGGCCGAGCCGCCTCGGCCGCGTGCCGTGCCGCTGCTCTTCGATGCTCGCTGGGGCCGCACAGGCCGCGCACCATGAGCCCCATGCCGATGGGCGAGGCCGACACGCGGAACGAGTCGGGCACGCCGTACCACGAGTCGTCGGCGGTGCGGCTGTCCAGGAAGAGACCGTGGCGCTGCCGGATCAGGGTCTCCCTGGCGGCGAGGCGGGGGGCTTCTCTTCGGGCGGCGACTCATGGGAGCCACCCGTGTCATCTTCCTGGTTCTTGCGGATCGACGCTTGTCGGCGCTGGTCGCCGCTGGCCCGACGCCAATCGACGCCAAGTCGGAGCTGAACAGGCGACTGCCAGACGCTGGCCGGTGCTGGTGCGCCCCAAAAAATGAAACTACGGGGGCATACGAGGCTCCCATGCCTTGCGACCGAACTCGTCCGTGAACCGCCGCCTGGTGGGATCGATTTTCGTGGATCCCCGCTGGCGGCGGATGTTGACATGTCTGGCACCAGACCCAGGGCCTGAATGCAAGCAAACTGCTACCGCATCACTTCTTTCACGTCGCAGCGCGACAGAAGCAGCCCACAGGCGCACTGAGGCGGTCCGGGAAACAGCAGACGCGAATTGTGCAGCGGCACGAAGGGGGGGAAGGCGAAAGTGGCCGCGCAGAGGAAGAGAGGGGAAGGGAGGGAGGAAGAAGGGGGGAAGGGGGAGGGAGAGAGAGGAAGGAGGAGGGAGAGGGGGAGGGGGGAGGACAAGGTAGGTGCGCTCGCGTCATATCTAACATCCTACCCCTCCCTCCCATCCTTTACCATGGCGCAGATCCCCTCTCTACTCGCTCAGTCGGATGTCGAGCAGGGCAATGATCCCGAAAGGGTAGTTACGCGATGCATTGTAGAGCACGGCATGGCATGGCGTAAGAGAGCACCGCAAAGCGTAGTATCAACCTAGCATTGCATTGCATGCCGTGGCATGGCACGGGAAATGACGCCAACGCTGTTGCGGGAGCACGAGTCGAAACGAGCGGAAGCGCGGAAATGAGGCCAGCGCTGCAGCGGGATCACGATTCGGAACGAGCGGAAGCACGGAAATGAGGCCAGCGCTGCATCGGGAGCACGATTCGGAACGAGCGGGGCCCGAAAATGAGGCCGGCGCCTCAGCGAGAGCAACTTTTTGAAAAAAATGCAGGCGAAAACCCAACTCCGGGGAAACCTGTGTAAAAAAACAGTACGCGGGGGGGGGGTCGGCCACTTTCAAACCGTCATCAGGGGAAGAGGGAGAGTAGATTCATATTGAGTAATTGTGAAGAGAAAGGAGAGGCGGAGGGAGGGAGGGAGGGAGGGAGGAGAGGGAGGAGGAGAGGAAGAGAGGGGGAGGGAAGGCACTCACATAGCGAGGTGCATCGCCTTGGAGCGGCCGGTGCGGCCACCCAGACTCCCACCGTGTCACAAGGAGCGCTGGATGAAAAAGGGAGCCCCTCTGCTTCGCCCCAGCAGCGCCAGGGTGCACGAGGAACGCCGGAGGAACAACCTCGGAATGACCTCCTAGGATCAACGAGCCCCTCTCGAACCCGAACTGCTCCGCATCTCAGTATCCTCGCTGACCCGAACCGCTCTCGAACCCGAACTGCTTCGCCCTCCCCCCCTGCCGAGGCACCCCGAAGACCCCGTCCCCAGAGGCGGTGGTTGCGGCAGAGTCGTGTCGTGAGGACTTCGGCGCTGATTTCTGATCTGCGTGGATCGTTCTGAGTGCGCTCTGACCAGAATTTTGGTGGGAACCCAGCCGTGTCACTGCACCGACCTTGCAGACGTGCTGGAGCGGATGTTTGCAGGAATCTCTGTAAATGCAAGACTCGAAAGCGGCGAGCGAAAAACAAAGTTCATTTCACGTAGATTTGTTGTAGTCTTCATTCCTGGCCCAAAAAATCCACACAAAATTCGCTTCAAAGTCCGAAACGAAATTCTCCAGGACAGTCTGGGCCCATCTCATTCCGAGCGAAATCCGCTCTGCGATGATGGCGCCATGAGCTGTGGCGACGAAGGCTCTCCAGGACAAGCAGCGGCATCGGTGCGGGCTTCTCCCTTGACCGCCGCAGCAAACTCGGATACGACGCGTCCTGATTTTTTCCAAATCGAGTGCGCGGAAGTTCCGACCCTTTCCCCGGGGCCGCTTTTTCATCCCAGATCGTTGTTCGATGGTCCCGAGGCCCAGCGAGGGCCCCCGAAAGCAGAAAGATGGCAAGACACCTCACGTTGTGTGTTGTGAGCATCTTGTTAGTCGGCGTTTCGACATTGGGCGGCAAGGAGGGGGGGAGGGGGGGTCTGGCTCCAGACCCTTGCTTAGTGCGACTGCTTGCAAGAGTGCGGCCTCTGGGAGACTCCACCCGCTCGAAACAGGCACCAAACAGCAGCCAAGATCTACTCCAGGGGGGGGCCGCCCCGATCGGCAAAACAATGACTAGAACAACGATCACGCTTTTGCCACGACGCGAGCATGTCTGGTGAAGAGTCTCCGCCGCGGACCTGTGGACAGTGCCCCTCCAGTAGTCGGAGGGCAGCGTCTGCGGGGGGGGGGGGCGCCCCCATCGGCAAAACAATGGCTGAAAAAACGATCACGCTTTTGCCACGACGCGAGCATGTCTGGTGAAGAGTCCCCGCCGCGGACCTCTGGACAGCGTCCCTCCAGTAGTCGGAGGGCAGCGTCTGCCCCGCGCCGGGCGGCTGGAGATCGGGTTTTGCTCCTGCGTCACACAGATCTACGGTGGAGGCCAGTCCACAATCAACCTTCCACAGGAAACCCAACCCTGAGACCCCAGGGCGTCCACTGATTTTGGGTGTGGGGAAGTCACGCCTTCCATCGCAAAACCCTCGAAACCCAAGAAACCCAGGGCACCCTGGAGGCAAGCAGGGTGCTTCTTGGCGTGAGCGCCCCCACTGTAACCTGTTCGCGTTGGGCAGCCCGCGCGCGCGCCAATACTGCGTACCCCCTCGGACCTGCATAACCGACGAGGTGAACTTCTGTGGGAGGCCGAGGAACACTGAACCCCTTCCAACCCCAAAGCGTTCCCTGCCTGGACGCCCCGGCTGTGTGCAGGCCGACCGGGCCCGCTCATCAACAGCATAGCTTCTCCGGCCACCCGCGCCCTCACCTCGGTATGGTGCCGAGCGGCCTTCTTGTGGAAAACAGACGGTGCCGATGACGCTACTCCCCGGACCTCTCCTGGGGTGCGTTCTGACCAGGATCTCGAAGCGAATCCAGAGGTGGCGACGAGGGCATCCAAGGAGGCCCACAAAGGGGAAAACGGGCGAAGCGTAGCGGTGTTGGGTACCTTTTCTTCCTCGTGAGCGTTCTTTGTTCGGCGTTTCGACATTGGGCGGAAGGGGGGGGGGAGGGGGTGTGTTTGGCTCCGACCCTATCCTTAGTGCGACTGTTTGCAGCCCTGGGTCATATGAGGGGAGACTCCACATGCTCGAAACAGGCGCCCAAAAACAGCCAAGATCTACTCCAGGGAGCGGGACGGGAGGGGGGGGTACGAGGGCCCGCGCCGATCGGCAAAACAGTGAATCAAAAACACCTCTGACTTCTCCGCAGGAGCAGGAGAGCCGCTCTTCGGGAACGGCCAAGAGGGGGGTGTCCAAGAAGGGGGGGTGCGAATCATGACCGGCGGCATGTGCGCGGCCCAGCGGGGGGGCCAGGGACGTAATGAAATAAGAAGAGGCACCAGAACATCTGGGAATATCATGGCCCCCGCCATGACATCCACCCCCCCCTTAGTCATCACCCCCCTCTCTGCCGCCCCCGAGTTTCTGCCCCTCCTGCTTCTGCAGCCAGGCCGCGGTCGGACCCCAGCACCAGCAACAAAAAGCGTCTCCTGCTGCCCCCGCGGCCGCGGCATCGCCCCCGCGGCCGCGGCGGCGGCGCGCGGCGGCGCCGCGGGCCGCCCCGCGCGCTGCCGCAGGCGCGCGCGCGCGCGCCGCTCGCGGGCCGCGCGGCTCTCGGCGCGTGCGGCTCGGGGGGGGCCCGGGGGCCGGCGAGGGGCAGGCCTCCGAGGGGAGACGGCGCCATACATCAAGGGGCCCAAGCTTAGCTTAGCTCAGCTTTTGGGCGCAGGAGCCCATCAGGGAGCAAATGGTACAAATCTGTCGTACCAATCTGGTTCCCCTGAGCTGTGATATGTGCGCATGCGTAGCCGTCTGGGCCCAGAGCGCTCAGCGAGCGAGGCCCCTTGCAGGTTTCGCAAAGTCCTGCAGGGCCAATTCATTGCGAAGTTGGAAAGCATTACATTCATCACATCGTCGTCGACGCCATAAATCAAGGGGCCCAAGGACCCACAATCAAGGGGCCCAAGGACACACCTAAATCAAGACGCCAAATCACAGGATTCCCCATATTTCCACATATTTTCGGGGTTGTTGTCTGCCCCTCCACCTCCCACATTCTCCCATATGTTCTGGGGATCGACAAGGACACACAGTCAAGGGGCCCAAGGGCACACATGTATTTTCTGAGTTGTTGTCTGCCCCCCCACCTCCCATATTCTCCCATATGTTCTGGGAATCGACGATTCATGGTGTCTGTGTGCTTTCTTCCCTCCTGAAGAGAAGACGCCATGAAAGCACAAGTGTTCGGCGCTCCGCGGGGACTTCTTGGTTCTCCCCGGCGCGCGGAGGCTCGCGCCAGGGGCGGCCTCGCGGGCGCCGCCGAGGCGGGCCCAGCGCGGCTCCACGACATCCGCGCAGAGCGCCAGAAGTTCATGTTGATAGCGTTTTTTCTTCTTCCAGGGAAGGAACTCTGGAAGCTCCTGGCCCGGCGAAGCCAGCGCCGGCGAAACCAGGCGCCGGCGAAACCAGCCGCCGGCGAAACCGGCGGGGCGAAACCAGCGCTGGCGAAACCAGCGCCGGCGAAACCGGCTTATTCCCCATTCGTCTCCCCCACCTCATCCCCCCTTCCACACCCGTCAATTAACAAGTGGCAAAGAGTCAGAACATATCTGAGGAGATGTCGAAAGCTCGCAGACAAAGTGACATGCCTGCGAATATCGGCAAATGCTCCTGCGAAGGACAAGAGCCCATACGAGCTCCCGAACACTCCAGCAAGCTCCCAAATACTCCAAGACTCTCCTCATCAACTCCTCGAACACAACTCTACTGGATTCGAAACAAACTGTGCGACATCTGCCACGAGACCACAGCACTGCTTATTTTCAGCGTCCAGATGGTGAACATTCGTGGACAATAAGACCGACTGAGCGCAAAGAGCTGAAGAGACAAAGCACATCACATGAGCATACACTGTTGAACATCCTCGCGGATTTGTTTAGTCGGCACTACACCCCCCGGCGGCGACTCCAACGCCGCCCCTGAAGCGCTCTGCGGGGGGAGGGGGGGGCCGCGCAGTCTGGAGCAGTCCGCGCGGACCTCCGAAACGTGTGCTAGTGATGCCTCCTGCTCTTCGAGCGATGGTCGCCCTTTCTTTTGAGCGGCTAGTAGGTTTCCACCTTGGAGCAGTCATTCTGGCGTCAGGCAGCCACTGCAGCGCGCGCCGGCTCTGGAGCGGGAGCAGTGCTAGGTCGGGCGTGCCCTCCTACAGGAGGACTCTGAACGAGAAATGAAGATAGCAAAGAAATGCTCAAACAATGCTCAAACAATGGTCCCCTGACGATTTCTTCCCAACCATCCTGTAGTGTTGGGTCCTCGTTTTGAGGAGACGGTCCCCGCGTTCCTCTTCCTTTTTCCCTCCTCCCCCTCCTCCCCCTCCTCCTCCCTCCCTGCGCTTCACCCACCCAGTACGGCGCTTCGTGGCCCCATAGGGAGCTCCACCGAAGACCCCAGTGGCACCGCCCGCATGCGTCAGCCACCAACCAGCACAGCGCTTCGTGGCCCCATAGGGGGCTCCACCGGCCCCAGTGGCACCGCCCGCATGCCTCAGCCACCACCCAGTACAGCGCTTCGTGGCCCCACAGGGAGCTCCACCGAAGGTCCCAGTAGGACCGCCCGCATGCGTCAGCCACCAACACAACAAGCACAGCGCTTCGTGGCCCCACAGGGAACTCCACCGAAGGCGCCAGAGTCACCACCCAGTACAGCGCTTCGTGGCCTCGCAGGGGGCTCCACCGAAGGTGCCAGTAGGCCCGCATGCGTCAGCCACCAACAAGCACAGCGCTTCGTGGCCCTATAGGGAACTCCACCGAAGGCGCCAGTGGCACCGCCCGCATGCGTCAGCCACCACCCAGTACAGCGCTTCGTGGCCTCACAGGGGGCTCCACCGAAGGTGCCAGTGGGACCGCCCGCATGCCTCAGCCACCATCCAGTACAGCGCTTCGTGGCCCCATAGGGGGCTCCACCGATGGCCCCAGTGGCACCGCCCGCATGCCTCAGCCACCATCCAGTACACCGTTTCGTGGGCCCTATAGCGAGCTCCACTGAAGGCCCCAGTGGCACCGCCCGCATGCGTCAGCCACCACCCAGTACAGCGTTCCGTGGCCCCACAGGGGGCTCCACCGAAGGCCCCAAAAGCACCGCCCGCATGTGTCAGCCACCACCCAGTACAGCGCTCCGTGGCCCCACAGGGAGCTTCACTGAAGCCCCCAGTGGGACATCCCGCATGCATCAGCCACCACCCAGTACAGCCTTTCGTGGCCCCGTAGGGAGCTCTAATGGCACCGCCCGCATGCGTCGTCCACCACCCATTAACGCATTTCGCGGCCTCATTGGTTGGGGGCTCCACCATGCCCCACTGGCACCGCCCGCATGCGCCCCCCCCACCCGGTACAGCGTTTCGTGGCCTCACAAGGAGCTCCACTGGTCCGCCCGCATGTGACCCCCCCCACCCGGTACAGCGTTCTGTGGGCCCATAGGGAGCTCCACCGAAAGCCCCAGAAGCACCGCCCGCATGCGTCCCCCCTCCCGGTACAGCGTTTCGTGGACCCATAGGGAGCTCCACCGAAGGCGCCAGTGGCACCGCCCGCATGCGTCGGCCAATATCCAAAACAGCGTGTTGTGGCCCCGTAGGGAGCTCCACAGAAAAACCTCAGTGGCACCGCCCGCACGCGTCTCCCCCAACCAGTGCAGCGCTTCGTGGCCCCATAGGGAGCTCCAGCGAGGGGCACCGCCCGCATGCGTCAGTCACCACCCAGTATTGCGTTTCGTGGCCCATAGAGAGCCCCACCGAAGTCCACAACGGTACCGCCCGCATGCGTCTCGCCCACCCATTACGGCACATCCCTCACGCGAATCGTGGCCCCATAGGGAGCTCCAGCGAAAGCGGCACCCACAACGCGTTACTCTCAACTGCATATCGTTGAGTCCTTCGCCAGGATAACTGACTATTTGTGAATATTCCTCGTGTAGACGGACAGGCCCGACTTAGGAGCAGTGGCGGGCGGCGCAGCGGGCGAGGGCACAGGGAGGTGCTGGAGCATCGGAGGAGCAAACACGCAGAGACCCTACACTCGTCCCCCGCAGCCTGGGAGGAGCGTGGGCTCGCCGACCAGCATGAGGTGGATGGAACAAAGAGTGGCTGATAAGAAGGTCTTAGCGTCCAGAGAGAGAGAGAGAGAGAGACCAAAAACAACATAGATAACGTAAACACATAAAACACGACGACACGAAAGAGAGACAAAGAAAGATAACACGAGAGAGAGAGAGAGATAACGAGAGAGAGAGAGAGAGGAAAAAAAAAAAAAAAAAGAGAACGAGAGAGAAAGAGAGAGGGATAGAGAGAGAGAGAGAGAGAGAACACACCGACAATTCAACTGGACACGCCAGGGCTAGATGCGTCCTAACCTACATCGGAACGAAGAGAAGGCGGAACCACCACCAGCTGGAGGAGCCAAGGGAGACCCTGCCGCGGCTGCTGCGGTCCCCCGTTCCGCTGCGTCCAGCTCGAGACTTCCAGCTCGGGAGGCACCGTAGACCTCCCCGCTGGCAGTGGGGCCGCACGCGGATTTGGCGCACGGGCGCCAGATCCACGGATCGGGGGAAAGCCCCCCGAAACAGGGAGCAAACGCTTGATTTGCCATGGAAGCGGGGCCCGTCGCTGACACACGCGCCGTAACGGGCGATGCAAGGATCCCAATCCCCGACTTTTGGGGGTTTCGACTGGACCAGACATTGCGGGCCAAACCCTGAGATAATATATGGTGGGGCGTCCATCCTCGATACGGGTGCGTCTGAATAGCTCCCTGAGTGTGGCATGCCATTTTTCTGAACGGCCAAACCTTTCCGGCGGGATTCGGGGATTCGGGGAGATGAATCGCCTGCGACGCCCTGATCTATGCCCATCGCGGAGGAACACAACAACCACAGAAACACACACACAGGGAACTGCAGGGCGAGCCGACCGTGCCAAACCGCCGACGCGATCGTGACACGAACAGACAGAGCAGCGGAGGAAGTGAGGGATGAAAAAAACGACCCTACCCTGCGTTACAAGTGCGTGGTCTGTAAACCTCCTGGGAACCCCCCAAAGCCTAGAGCCGCCAGGACGCGGCACATCACGCAGGGTTTACCCTGTCAGCCCACAGGAGTTTCAGAGCACAGCGCCTCGTAAACCAGGGTAGGGGCGTTTTTGCTGCCCTTGAGGAAGGGACGGCGAGGCCTCGGGCTGCGGACCGACCGCCCCCCCCCAAGCAGCCCACCGCTGGCCTCGACGGGCCACCCGGGCAGCCCCCCAGCGGACCTCGCCGGGCCCCCCGCCGCGCAGCCCAGGGCGGCCTCGGCACCCCGCCGCAGCCTCGGGGGCGTCGCCCCTGGGAAGCCGAGGTGCCGAGACCGCCCCGGGCTGCTCGGGGGGGCCTGTCGAGTCCAGCGTGGGCTACACCCTGCGAAATGCTTAAGAAATCATGGGTTAAGAAATTCATAGTCTCAGAATTTGGATAAAAACGCTAAATTTCTACTAAATTTTTGGGATTTACATTGAAACAGTAAGAATAATCGAGAATCTGGCCGAAA